GCATAAAACAGTTGCAGGGCAGTGGAATCACATGAGTCCTGTTAGACTTAGGCTATCTTTCCAGATGCTGTTGTTGAGGCCATTGTACAGTCAACAACTCTGTAAAAGCAGGCGCCGTATGAGAAGAACAATCAGAATCAGTAGCTGTCATACGGATACTGTACAGGTACCATAAAACATTTAGTAATTGATATATATTTGAGAATGAGAGTAAATACATAGCATACATGGCAAAACTACAATTGTCCGTGGCAATTGTCAGTGAAAGTCAACGTGAATCTCCTCACCACTTGTTGTTAAGTTGTTTCATTACGTCAGCGACGTGGTTCCTGCACAACGCTAACCACGCCACGCAGGTTATGTAAACCAGTTATACTACCGAACCACTGACAGCATCTGTCAACATGGCAATCTTTCATTTACCAGTGCCCAAACATGTAGGAGTGTAGGAAACATGGAATTAACCTAAACCCGTCATATAAGATGTCAAGCGGCATGACATGGTGATTCGAAAACGATGAAGAAATACTATTCCACCCTATGATAAAGGCGTATCAAGTATGACTAAGTGGTGGAGAAAATCAATGTCCGTTGCTGGGAACCCCACTTTTAAGCAACATCAGTCAGACACGTGTCACATATAGGGTGCTGCTTACTCGGGATTACACCTGCCTCGCCAAATATAATTGTCCTCATGATATACTTAAGATTAATTACACTGAAATTTCTAAATAACCATAACAGTATGATACCGTCTTATCAGCACAGATACACACACCACATCCGTAATTCCCCTGGCGCATGAGACTCGATAACACCTGCAATAACACATGAAATATGTGAAGCAAAGCTATTATCAATTTCCCTTGAGGTATATACTCTGTTTATTGTGCAAATAAATCGAAATAAATCTATATTGATTATCATATTCACATGACATTGTCGGACAGCTCACCGAAACTGATACGTGCATTTGTATTTGCTTGTTTCTCAATTTCTAAAAATAATGTGTAAACAACAGATAATTAAATATTTTAAAAATATCATAATATTAAACAGTAGTGTGTTTTTTTATTAGTTGTTTAATGCCGCACTCGGCAATATTCCAGCACATGACGGCTGTCTGTAAAAATCGAGTTAGGACCAGAGTGAGTGAGTTAAGATTTAAAGTCACATCGGCAATATTTCAGCCATATCGTGACTAAAAACAAGTAATAAATTTAGAATAAATAAAAGTAAATTTTTAAAAAATCTGAGAGCGAAGGACAGTAAAGCCAACTAGAATATCACAGATGTGAATATAGAACAATTATGTAACTCCAAAACAGCTTAAATGCAGAAGACAAGTTGAATACAATATAAGAACAGGCTATAGATTGCCAACAACTGAAGGTATACTAGGGACCATGGGGACTTACAGTACATTAAAAGGGCATGTGTACTGCGGTTAAAAAAGTAGTACTGAAGTTTACATTTACTTTTAAACTTTTGAGCCTTACGTACCCTCTCAGGGGGGCAATAATTTTACAGTACTTCAACACCCTGTGAGGATACAGCCACTAATTATAACAATCTCAGTTGATAATCTAAACTACCATTCATAAGGAAAAAAACATTTATCTATTTACAAAACATTTGTCAAAAATTATCCAACAATTCTATTTCTTTTAAAGAACCAATAATTAAATGAAAATTAACAGTAGTAATAAGATCCGTAACAGTTTTTACATTGAAATACTTATCCTTTGTGATGGAAAAATCAATACAGTCAAGCAGGACATGCTTGACCGTGATTCTGTCATCACGAGGGATTCGAATGGATGATCCTCACCTTTTAACAGGTATTCATGAGTATACCTAGTATGGCAAATACGACATCGTCTTACAATAACCTCTTCAAATCTGGACTGACAACCCAAATTGGTGTACCCGATAGTTGGTTTGAATTCATGTAATTTATTGATACCTAGCTACTTGGGTGTCCCACTTCTTTTGCATTAGATCAGGTATATACGATCTAATCATAGGTTTATAATTAGAGTTTGGAATATGAAGTGTGTCACAGATTTGTTGAGTGCTGACTTAGCAGAAAAATCCGCCATTTCTTTCCCAGAAATTCCAACATGACTGGACAACCAACAGAAAACGATGTCAGTAGCAAGGTCATTATATAACTCGATTATTTCAATTAAAAGTGGATGTTTAACACATAAGTCTTTGATAGCCTGAAGGCACGAAAGAGAGTCAGAAAAGATTATATGTTGTTTATGTTTAGGGTGTTTTTTATATAGTTTAAGGCTGTTAATACGGCCTTTGTTTCAGCTGTGAAAACTGAGCTGTGATCTGGTAAGATATTGTTCTGGATCCAATGACAGTGGCACAGGCAACTGCGCCACCATCCTTGGACCCATCTTTATATAAAGATCTATATGTATCATAGTTATTTCTTAATTGACTAAATTCTTGTTTACACTGTAAATCATTTGTTTCTGATTTTTTTTAAATGTGGTTAATGTTAGGTCGACTCGTGGCCTCACCAATTGCCAAGGAGAAGAAGAAAGAAGACGGGAAGGAGATATTTTCAAGATCAATGCCAGCAGCAGAAATGAATGGCTTGGTTGTTATCCCAAGAGGTGGAACAAGTGAAGATTTTTACCATACAGATCCTCATAAAGAGGATTAAAACACCGGTGTGTGCAGGATTGTATTCATTAAATATAGCTTTGTGATGTATGGTAAAGATAATTTAATACAACGAAGTTTTAAAGATGGCTCATCAGCCTCGACGTAGAGAGTGTCAATGGGAGAGGTTCTGAAAAATACAAGATAAAGTCTTAGACCTTGGTGGTGAACAGAATCTAATAGTTTGAGGTTGCTTTTACAAGCCCCATCATACACGATAGTTTCGATCGGACCAGTGATCTATATAAGTGAAGGAGAGTAGTTTGGTCCCCTCCCCACTTTGAATTTTAGAAACAACTTTTAACAAGTAAGGGCCTTCAGGTATTTGGCTTTAAGGTATTAATATGAGTCAGGACCAGACAATCCAGTTATCAACAGCATGAGCATCGATCTACGTAATTGCAATACGATCACATTTGTCAACCAAGTCAGCGAACCTGACCACCTGATCCCGTTAGTCGCCTCCTGCGGCAAGCATGGGTTACTGAAGACCAATTGTTACCCGGATGTTCACGAGTATGGGTGATATGTTTTTAAGCACTATTTGATGTCAAGCTTGAATCCTTATATTTCAAAATAACATGACTGAATTCTTGTGTTCTTACTCACCAGATAGTTGTTGGGGTAATTGAAACATCCTAATGAATGTGAAACAAACAGCGAGAATTCAAGAAGGAAACGAAGATTAACAACAGGAATTCTGCAAATAACCATGTAATAAACTGGCAGGAAAACGGACGAAAAACTGAAATATAAAACGTCAGTGGATGGACAAAATGCCCAGTCTTCACTATCTTCAGGAACTGATTCAATTTGGTATAAAGTGCAAATAGCTGTTTAAATGATTGGACCACAAACGATAATAAACACAGATGAATGGAGTTACTTTCCTTTGCGATAGAGATATGTGTTCATCGTCTCTCTTGAAATGTTGTGAAATAACTGTGCTCCATGTGCAAATGACGAGATACGTCACCAGATTTGATGGCTTCAGTGTCTACAGAATCCGATCCAAAACGGGCATACGTCTGGTGTCATAGAGAGCAAGAATAGGAACTTTTACAAAAGCACATTGAAAAGAAGTTGGCATGTGTAGATCCCGCACACGATGTGGACACACGGGATAGACACCAAGTACAGGCTGATGTCTACAATACACATCGTACTCAGCATCCACACTTTACCAGGTAAGTGAGCTTGCAGTAACCTACAAAGATAAATGGATGCTTGATTGCCAGCCCAGACCCGTCGGTCGGCCAAAATAATGATAATAATAATGTTGATCCAACACAATGCTGCTCTCTGGCCTTACATCATTACCCTGACGGAATTATACTTTCAAAGCCGCTACTAAGCGCTTCGCGCGACCGTATAGGTCCGTACATGCGCTTCTCAGGTACCCATTTTGAACAGCTGGGTGGACTTAATGCAATGTGGACGAAGTGCCCTGCCCAGGGACACAACACAGTATGAGACCCAGGTCAGAAATTTTGATGTCTCCACCGGGATTCGAACCCGGGCCTTTGGCGTGAGAGGCCAGCATGCTAACCACTACACCACTGTGCTCCACTGTACGTGTGCTTCAAGGACTAACACAAGGTCAACAGCACAAACGTTTAATTTGTTTTCCCCTGGCGGGTGCCCGTGCAAAGATCCTGAACAAGAACTATAGGCCTAATCGTAGACATTGTGACAACGATGTAATTTCTCTGCAAACTGAGTTATTAAGAGAGACTAGGCATTCAGGACTTGAAATCAGAAACAGGTAAAATGAACAAGACTCTGGGCACCATGAACACACAGGTATATGGCTTGAAAGCAGAACAAGAAATCATTCGCTTGATTATAGTATACGTAGCTGATAGACTTGAACATGCTGAATATTGCAACCGATAATCTTCTCTGTGTAAGGGTAAATATCTTTGTTTGTAGATACGTGATACATTTGAGGAAGGGATAGAAGGGGTCAGTACAGTCGGGCCAATAATTCTATACTGTATGGAATCTAGCTCTGAGTGTAAGCAGTACATCTGTGACTTGTTGGGCTCCCATAACGACAACCCTGATGCTCTCATTGCAGCACATCGACTTTGGTCCAGTGAATCTCCTTGCCTAATGGTAATGATGGTTGTATATACGGAAGTCAAAAGTGTGCTACAGGGCAGAGATCAGATCTGAAGAAGTGTGGCATCAGTATTGCATCAGTGATTTGACCGACAGGGTAAGAAGTCAACTCAATCAGTTGGAAGAGCAAGGGAGATTTGACTGCTTCAAAACTGGTAAGAAAGACCAAATACCCCGAGATGGGAAAGACAATCCTACAAAACACTACTACTACTACTACTACTACTACTACTACTACTACTAGAGACCATCTGACAGTATCAGAAATACTTCTAGTAACTGTTGCGAAAGAAGTCGTCTTCGTAGCAGAGTGAGTGAATGTGTAAGGTTTTATGCCGCTTTTAGCAATATTCCAGCAATATCACAGCGGGGGCACCAGAAATGGGCCTCACACATTGCTGTAGCAGAGATATAGACGTGGGAAATAGGGGTGTGGCCCAGAACACTCTCACTGTAAGACAATATGTACAACGTCTGTTCTGGAGCGTATGTGGTCTGCGTACTCTCTGAGAAGAGAGTAACTTCATGTGTTATACATTGTAATAAGATATATAGGATTGTTCTGAGAAACCTGATTTAAGCACGATAAATATACATGCACTCTTTCACTGACTGTTAATGTTTTGGAATTATTCAGGTGCATTCAGGGTTCAATATCGTGAAGTCGACTCCCTAAGGCGCGTAAACACAAAATAGCGATATGATTGGATTAATCAGTTGCATTGTGTGAACTCACTAACTAACAGGTTAATATTTCAGTAGGTAAACACATCTCACACAAACTGGTGATCACTTTTCGCACCTAATTTAAACTTTCAGTGACACTCAGACTTTAATCCTTTGAAACAACAACACTGAAACAACATATTACATCAAAGGATTTTTGCCCTCAACCCGAAGAGTCGACTTCCCGGTAAGAGTCCGTATTCAGATGGTTGACTCTCTGGGGCAATTACCCTTCATAGAAGGAACTATGTCTCCAAGTATGGGCTATTGCGTGAATGCCGCTTTGTTGCTTGTGGGCAGGTCTGTGTTTAAAGTAGACAAGAATGTACTAATAGTTCCTACACACACAGAATGATCAGATAAGTCTATGGATAAATGGACAACGTGCGGAATTACACATCTGATAGATTAGATACCCTTTAAATGATTGATGATGTGTATATTCTGATTGGGATAGAACTTAATGCACGCACGGAAACAGAGGAAGGATGTATGACCGACGACGTAGCAGAGAGATTAGGTAATGATCATTTTGGCTATTTGTTTGACAAGATAACCTCTGAAAGATCCTCTTGTGATATCACTATAAATGGTTTTGGTAACAGGTTCATAGAACTCTGCTCTGCTTTAATTTTATCCATGCTCAATGGAAGAACGGGGTTAGATTCGGACATTGGGGAATTTACCTTTACTTCCTCCCTGTGGGAACCAGCTTTGCTAACTACACCATCGTGCGGATGGCTTATTTACATTGTCTTCTGGGCCGACTCCGTGGTGTAGTGGTTGGAGCGTCCGCCCGGAGAGCGGAAGGTCGCGGGTTCGATCCCCGACCGCGTCATACAAAAAGACGTTAAAATATGGTACTTGTTGGTCCCTGCCTGGCGCTAGGCATTAAATGGTACAAGGACTGGTCGGCTCGGAGTCAGTATAATGTGTCTGAGTGGGGTATTCATGCTTCACTGCGGCATGGTATCTCAGTGGGCTAGCACTATAAAACCAGCTTAAGTCTGGGCTAGTTCAAGCAGCCGCACATACACATACACAGGCATGCACGTCGTCATATGAGCGAAATATTCTCAAGCACGACGTTAAACCCAATTTCACCTCACCTCACCTCACATTGTCTTCTGACTTTAATGCCCCATGTAAGTCAGACTGACCACCTAACTGTCATAGGCTCTTTCCTCTGTGACTCCCAAGAAGTGGAGCCGTGGACTATGCGAAACATGTATGTGAGTGAGTGAGTGGGTATGGTTTACGCCGCTTTTAGCAATATTCCAGCAATATCAAGTCGGGGGACACCAGAAATGAGCTTCACACATTGTACCAATGACGGGATCGAACCCGGGTTTTTGGCGTGACGAGCGAACGCTTCAACCACTAGGCTACCCCACCGCCTCCTCACAGGGTCTGGAAACTGGAACTCAAAGAAAAGGTTCCGTGCCGACCTCTTGTCACATGACGCAGTCAACAAGTCACAACTGTGTTGCGATAAAACGCAATGCTTTTCAGAGATGTTCTGTGTCACGAAGACATATCATGGAGAAAACATTACTGATTTGAGGAAAAATGTTCCTATTATCAAAGTGAACGATATAAGCTGTTGAAATTATTTCGTTTAAATATAGACAGCATTACACTTGTCAAATACCCAAAAGGGAGACATATATACACAAGAGAACGGAAAATGATTTAACCATATTTATTTCCATAGAAAGGAACCGGATTGGTAAACAAGCATAAGCTTATATGAATACCGCTCCGGGATACAATGGGAAGAAGAGTAATAATATATCCAAATATAGGTTCAAGAGTTTGTCAAATCCTCCACTGTCGCTTAAGGTTAGGATGTAGCGATCTCAAAACTGACAAACACAACAGACATATATCAGAGAGAGCAGATTGTTTGCGTGGCCACCCTACTGAAGATGCACGTCATTACTTCTTTGTATGTCCCAGATTTGATGCTGTAAGAGTAAATAAATTGTATTATACCAATGGCTTTTCATTAGAAACAATCTTATACGGAACGTCTTCCATGGACCCACAAATTCAATCACATATCTTAAAATCAGTCCATCTATTTATAATTGAAACTAGGTGCTTTAACTGAGCAAGTCATACACTAAAACCTATAATTCTCAAAGCTATACTACTATGGATCCCGACTGCAGATGCCATGAATGTATACAACCATCATGATGTTAATTTTCCGACTACATGTCATACCATCTACTTTCATTTTAGATATCACCTTTTCTTGTCATGATACTGTTTCATATATCTATGTATATTGGAGCGGTCTTCATATAAGTTCTTTTGAGCTTGTTGACCAATCCAGTTCATGAAAATTCTGTCGTTGCTATTTCATGAAATAAATATGTTTAAACAAAGAAGAGTAAACATGTCAGACGAAAATGTATGATTTGACAAAATCTGCTACCGAAATTTAAGTCAAAATGACTGTAGATATTAGAATCGGTTAAAATTACATTTTTTTAATCTCGATAAACACGGTGATTCTCTATGTTCGGCTGGTAATGAATTCCATAATTTAACAGTATCTGGATGAAAGGACCTCGCATAATTTACAGATTTACGGTTTATAGTCTGAAGATTTGAATCATCGCGCAGATTATAACCAACGACATCCGATACTGTAGGCGGAACAAGGTTACTAAGATAACTCCGTGTAGTGTTATTAACCATTTTGTAAAACAGTCATTTTATGAAGGTATCTTCTACGGCACAACGGGTGATAATTAGTTGCTCTGTATATTTTATGATGGCTGGTACCACGAACAGCACCACATACGGTTCTTAGAGCATCAAGATTGAGCTTTTCAAGTATATCTGCTTGCTGTTTAGTACAATTACCCCATATATGACTGCAATAATCAAAAACTGGTAATATGAACTGTTTGTACATGGTTTCTAATGTTTTTCTGTTTAAACGACATTTGAGACTTCTTAGACAATTCGCCATTGGTGCAACTTTTTGAGCACACTCGTTAATCTGTTCATTCCATGAGCAATCATGTTGAAGTATAAGACCTAAATGTTTATGGCTTTGAACAGAATTAATGAAGAAAGAATATCATAAACTTTGTTTTGGTTCAGATAAACGTCACATAAATAATTATCAGTATACGAAAAACTTCTTCAATATTCCTGTCTGGATAACTAACTTTTGTTTGATTTGTTAAATATTCATTCATTATAGTTGCAATTTCAGTGCTGTCGTCATAAAGTTGATCATTATTTAATACTTGGGGAAAGGAACTTAATGAATTTTTGCCTTTGTATAATCTTTAATCAGTCGCCTCCAGACTTTGGTTCCATGCTTGTCATTAATTAATTTATCGATTTTGTCTGTATATAATTGATTAGCTGTTCTGACGGATGATGTAGCTTTATTTCTGTATAGTCTGAATTTTGTCGGCACCCGTGAAGAGCCACCTCCTCGTGGTGGGTGCTGGGTAACGCTAAGAGCTCTTCAACCCCCCGCTGTGGGCCCGGGGGTATATTTGGTCCACCAACCCGTTTGCCGTGGGTTGCGCCCCTGTGTCGGTGGAGGAAGGGAGTCTGGTGGTTGAGGGCACTGGTTCCAGGAACAGTGTTCCTTTGCGCAACACACCACTTCGGCCCTGACTTCACCTAGACGGGACATCACAAGCGTCAGCTAAACAGCCTAACACTGATCATTTGCCCAAAAAGAAAGGAAAAAAATTCAACAGGAAACAATTACTAACTGTCCCAATACCTTCAGAGGTTCCTTTTGAGAACCCCTTTGAACCTCTAGATATGGAGGTGTCACCGTCCTCTCAGGACTCACGGAGAAGGTTCACTTCCTCACATTCACACGGAAGATCACCAATTGAGGCACCATGACTCAATTGTCCGCTATAATCCAATGGAATTGGAGAGGACTCAAAAATAATTTTAATGAGATTCAATTACTAACACAGGATTTTCAACCGTCAGCTTTATGTCTCCAAGAGACATATCTAAAAAAATACAGATAACTTTACTATGAGACAGTATAGTGATTATCACTCTTTTTCTCCTCCAGGAAATAAAACAACTGGGGGTGCTTCCATTTTGGTACGGCAAGGTGTAATACACAGTCCTGTCCATCTTAGCACAGATCTTCAAACTGTTGCTGTTCGTATCACCATGCATATTGCATTGACTCTGTGCAGTTTATATATTCCTCCCTCTTCTGATATTAGACAGTCGGATCTTAAAATCTATATGACCAGCTTCCGAAGCCATGCCTCTTCATGGGCGATCTGAACGGTCACAACCCACTTTGGGGAAGTGACCATACTAATACTAAAGGTAAAATCCTTGAAGAATTCATTTCTGATAATAATCTATGTTTTCTCAATGCTGATTCAGCTACATATTTACATCCAGCTACGGGAACGTATTCTTCCCTTGATCTATCACTCGTCGATTCTAATGTATATAATGAATTTGAATGGGGGGTACATGACGACCTATTTGGGAGTGATCACTTCCCCACCATTCTCAAAACAGTCAACCCTGGTGATGATCCACCTTTATCACGACGGAACTTTGCCAGGGCTGACTGGTCATTGTATCAGGCACTATGTACTGATCACTTAAAACATGACATTTTGCGAACAGCGAAGATCCTATACAGTTATTTTCAGATATACTGAACAACATTGCTGACCAAACTGTACCAAAGTCCTCTGCAATTCCACACATTCGTAAACCATGGTTCAATAATGAATGTAAACAGGCCAGAAAGTGTAGGAAGAAAGCTGAAAAGTATTTTCGCCGACATCCTACCGTACATATTCTAGACAAAGTAAACATTTTAAATGCTAAGGCTAGACGTGCTTTTAAACAAAATAAGCGTCAGCTTTGGCAAAATTATGTTTCTAAAATAAATTCCCGCACGCCTATGTCAAAGGTGTGGAAGATGATTCAAAGAATAAAGGGCAAAGGTTCCAAATCTACTGTACACCATCTGAAGGATGGTGATAATCTATTAACTAATAAAGCTGAAATAGCAAATAAAATTGGCGAAGCTCTTGCCAACCTCATTATCATCAAATTATGTCCCTGAGTTCCAAAAACATCAGAAACAACAGGAGAAGAAAAAAATCAATTTTAACTCAGACAATGGTGAAGATTATAATGAATTATTTTCACTACATGAGCTACATACCGCCCTTGAGCAAGCTCATGATACAGCCACAGGGGCTGATGATATCCACTTTCAGCTCCTGAAGCATTTGCCCGAATCATGTTTGGAAACGCTGCTAAATATTTTTGATATGATATGGACTACAGGAAATTTCTAATGCCGCTGCCGATCGAATCTAGCCCTACATAGGTGCTGTCAACGTGGCTGGAATTAATAAACGAATTTAAAAGGTGAGTTTTCGCTGTCTTGGGTGATCGATGATTTTGGCTTGGAATTGCGGAGGTAGCTGTTTTCGGCGAGTCGTGGCGTATAACTTTTGAAATAATGATCCGATTGTGACCATTTATAGCTCATTTTGTAGGGAAATCATCTCGCTTTCGATCCGTAGGCCTCGACGGGGCCTTAAAAATAGTTTACGTGGTGAAATCTAACTTTGATTGAGGAGGGGGTGGTTCCGTCGTTACATCCCTTTCCTTTTATATAGTACTAGGTTAGGCTCTATATACCTATATGTCTTTCTAACGCTGTTTCTCCCCTGTGATTATGCGACGATGTCGCATTGACCATACGCGTTATACTAATAAATACATGTTAAAAGGTGAAGATCCTCCGTTTTGTATCCCTTGTCATGAGAGAACCACGGTCAAGCATGTCCTGCTTGACTGTGTTGAATTCTCCATCAAAAGGGATAAATATTTTAATGTAAAAACAGTCAAGGATCTTTTTACAAATGTTAATTTTCATTTAATTATTGATTTTTTTTACAGAGATTGATTTATTTGATGAATTCTGATTAATGTGTTTTGTAAATAGATATATTTTAAAGATTGGTAGTTTAGATTAGTAACTTAGATTGTTAGTGGCTGTACCATCAAAGGGGGTTAGAGTATTGTAAAATTATTGTCCTCCTGAGAGGGTACGTAAGTCCCAAAACTTTCAAAGTAAAATATAAATTTACCACATTTTAAACGTAGTATTTTTGTTATTTTAACTGTTGGCTAAATTTTCCTCCAGTCGCCGACCGCCTCCGTGGTGTAGTGGTTAGAGCGTCCGCCCGGAGAGCGGAAGGTCGCGGGTTCGATCCCCGACCGCGTCATACCAAAAGACGTTAAAATATGGTACTTGTTGGTCCCTGCCCGGCGCTTGGCATTAATGGGTACAACAAGGACTGGTCGGCTCGGAGTCAGTATAATGCGTCTGAGTGGGGTATTCATGCTTCACTGCGGCATGGTATCTCAGTTAGCTATCACTATAAAACCAGCTTAGCACTTGTAAAACCAGCCGCACATACACATAAACACAGGCATACGTCGTCATATGAGCGAAATATTCTCGCACGACGTTAAACCCAATTTCACCTCACCACACCTCCAGTGGCCAGCGCTGAAGGGACGTCGCTAGGGTCAATGCAGGTAGCAAAGTAATGAAATTCCCCATGGTTCCTAGTATGATTCACCTTCAGTTGATTCTTTGCTCGTCACATCTGTGATTCTCTAGTATTTTTACTGTCCATCGTCGACAGGTTTAACTCTTCACACTGTTTTCATTTTTGCATTATATAAATTATTTTCGTCACGATATGGCTGAGATATTGCCGATGTGACGTTAAATATTAACTCACTCACTGAATTTTGTCCAATCGGAAGATAAGTTGCGCCATTTAGCAATTTTGTGTAAGCGATTACGTTTCCGGATCGAACTCCGGGTTTCGTTGTTCATCCATGGCACATCTTTTGGCCTGATAGTGACAATTTTATTAGGTACGTGTTTGTAACATAGATTAATCATGGTATTGTTTACTTGATCTGCTACTTGATTTATGTCACGAGCAGAAAGTATTGTATTCCAATCAAAAGAATTAAGTTCATCAGTAAGGGCTTCGATGTCGGTTGAACTATAATCATA